ATGGTGTCTGTCGAGATGAACGAGATGAACAGTCATGGTGAACTGGCGAACGAGGTGAACACGAACAATAATGGATAAATGGATAGATGCATGGATGGATAGATGGATAAATAAATTTAAAAAAAATTTATTGATAGATGGATGAAACGATAGATGGATTGACAAATAAAAAGTTAGATAGATTGATATATAAATATAAATTTTGAAGAATTAAGTCATTAGTTAAATGGATACATGGATGGATACATGGATGATACATGGATATAAACATGGATGGATACATAGGTGGATACATAGATGGATACATAGATGGATACATGGATGGATAGATAAATTGATACGTTTGTATGGTTGGATAGACAAACAGACAGACCGATAGAATTTTGAATGAATAAATAAACAAATGAAGAGATGGAAACGTGTTGGGAAAAATAAAAAAGTGCTTTTATTTGTTTACTGAATGATTGAATGTGCAGACAGAGGCGAATGAATGAAAATATTTGAAAAGATAGAGAAAATTATTGTACTAATGTATAGAAAAATGTATGATACGATTAGTAAACAAAAGACGAATGATTAACTTAATGAATGACTGAATGAATGAATGAGTGAACGAACAAACAAATGAATGAATGAATGAGTAAATTAATGAATGAAATATTGAATTACACGTTTGATGATATCAAAATAATGACTAATTTAAAAATCAATAGAGTTGTTTTTCTTTGAATTTCAGAAATTGAACCAAAGTGACGTACAAATGAATAATGATAGATTCAAAATGATTTTCACCCGACCTTTGATTGTTGTCACTTCTGTTGTAAGTGTTCATTCATTCATTCATCCATTTTTTCATTTATTCATGCATTCTTTCATTCATTCGTTCATTTGTTCATTTATTGATTCATTCATTTATTTATTTATTCATTTATTCATTCATACTTTCAAACACTTACACGTGTTCATTCGTTAACTTCAATCTTTTTACTTTTTCTTTCACGCACTTATTAACTCTCTTCCTATTTTTTAACTCTCTCTCTCTCTCTCTCTCTTTCTCTCTCTCTCTCTCTCTCTCTCTCTCTCTCTCTCTCTCTCTGTTTTACTTTTTGTCACTAATTAATGTCTGTTTTTATTTAATCATATATTTATTACTTCGTTGATAAATCGATCAAAAATTTAACAAATCAACCAACCAACCAACCAACCAACCAGCCAACCAACCAACCAACCAACCAACCAACCAAACAACCAGCCAATCAACAAATCAACCAACACACCAACACATATATCCAGGTTCTATTATGCGTTGGAGTCGGCATCGGCCTAGGAATCACGTGGAATGATACCAGGAAGACGTGCTTTGTGCAGCCGCAAAAATTGAAAGGAAAAATTAATGAGAGTGAAGTTTTTAGGATTAAGCAGTGCGTCACGGCCGATACCCTTAAATGCCCTAAAGGGTAAAAAGGGATCCATCTCAACTTTCAAACACAAATAGACACACACAGTGGCAGATCTAGACTACTTTAACGGGGTGGGCCAAAATTTGAAAAAGTTCAAATTTTTACGAGTGGGGACTAAATTTTTAACAGGGGTGAGGGGGCGAAATTTGTAGTACTTTGGCTGACAATTTTTTTTGATTATGACGTTCAATTTTTAGTCAATTTTACGCATAAAACTAATTTTTTACTAACAATTGGGGACCAGTTCTCTCTCCGGCCCCATTAGATCCACCACTGGACACATACAAAAAGAAACACATACATACATACAAACAAATATCTACATAGATGCATACACAAACAAGCAAATGAACAAACGAACAAACAAACACTTTCCAGAAAATCTCATCCTCCCTTAATAATCCTCTCCCTGGACGGTTTCAGGGCCGAATACCTCCTACGCAACATGACACCAAACTTGGAAAAGATAAAAAATTGTGGAGTCCATTCCCCGTATATGAGGGCTGCCTTTCCCACTGTTACCATTCCTAATCACCGGACCTTGGCTACGGTTGGTTGGCTGGCTGGTTTATAGATTGAATGGATGGTTGGATGATTCGTTGTATGGTTGGTTAGATGGTTTTTTGACCGGTTAGCTAGTTTGTTGACTGAAATTTCGGTTGAATCGAAGTTTGATTGATTGAAGGATTGTTGTCACCATCATTGTCAGGGCATGTATCCAGAGAGTCATGGAATAATTGACAACGAATTTTTCGACATAACTACCCAGAGAAAATTCACCGTCAAAAACAAGGAAAAACTTGATAAAAGATGGTACCAGGGAGAGGCCGTTAGTTGAAAATAGTTTGATATTTCGTTTTTAAATAGAACCTTTTAAAAGTTTCGTTTGAGATTAGTTCGATTTTTCTTTTTTAAAATAAAACCTTATTAAAGTTATCATTCGAGATTAGTTGGATGTTTAGTTTGTATGATAAATCAAATGTGTATTGAGATTTGTCTGTAACTTTAGGCCGCCCGATGGCGTAGTGGTTAAAGTATCTGTCATTGTTGCTGCTGTGACTAGGTTTGATAGCAAAAAGATCCCCGCATATCACATGCATTGCGTGTGATACGTAGTTTTAGGTGTACTTGAATGTGCTGTGTGATTGTCGCTGACACGTCTGAAAATTAATTAGGAGAATTATGTAAATGAAATAATGGTAAAAATAATAACAACAACATTTATAATAGAAGTAATTATTATAGAGGTAATAATATTGAAATGAATTTGAAGTTTTGGAAGACAGCCTACATGCAGGGCAAAAATGCCCTTACAGTTATGTGGCCTGGCTCAGATGCAGAAGGTTGGTTGGTTGGTTCGTCGGTTGGCTGGTTGATTAGTTAGTAGGTTGATTGGTTGGTCGGTTGATTGGTTGGTTAGTTAAATAGTTAGATGGCTGGCTGGTTGTCTGTTTGGTTAGTACTTCGATTGAAATCTTTTTCCAGCAAAGAATTCTGATTTTTGAAATTTATCGAGTGACAAACTTTCAATTCGTTAAATATAATCTTCAGATCAAAATTTACAGACATGCTACAGTTTCAACAGGTACATCTACGATAATTCAAATAAGTTTATATTTTTATTTATCCTGCAAAACGTGACATGTCGTTTAGGAGGCCTCATTTTTATACTAAATAAACTAATTGTATCATATTTATCTTTTAATATCTTTAAAATCATGATACGTTATCTTATGTGATAATGTTTCCCTTTCAGTAATTGGACGTTAACCGAACGAATAGCCGAACCGTTGGAGTATTTTAACAGTGATACCGACCCATCTACACATCCCGATGTAGCCTTCATTTACTTGGATCAACCGGATAAAGCCGGACACAAATACGGACCGTATGATGATTTGGTTGGTTGGCTGGTTGAGTGATTGGAATATTGGTTGGTTAACTGGTTGGCTGGTTGGTTGAGTGATAGGAATATTGGTTGGTTGGTTGGCTAGTTTGTCGGTTGGTTGAGTGAGTGATTGGAATATTGGTTGGTTGAGTGATTGAAAAATTAATTGGTTGGTTGGTTGGTTGATTGATTGACTGAATGAATTATTGAAAAATCGGTTTATTTAAATGATTGGTTCGTTAATTAATTTAAATATCTGAGGAATTAACTGATTTGTTGGTAAAATGATTAAAATAATTTCAAAGGTAAATGGAAATCTCTCATACGTCGACAATTTGGTAGGCCGGTTGGTGAATGGCATGATAGAGAGAGGTTACGGAGAATGCATGAATATAATCATCGTGGCAGATCATGGTTAGATAGCCACTAATGTTGCAATTTCTACTGCTACTGCTACTTTTACTGCTGCTGCTTCTACAGCTACTGCTGTACTACTATTATTACTACTACTGCTAACACTATTACTACTTAGAATAATACTAATTATTAGTGATGACGAAGAAGTTGATGACGACGATGACTATGTTTTGACACCATGTTTACGATAAAACTTATAAAATTAAACATTTATATGGTATATATACGTTCTATTTTAAAGTTTTTTAAACGTTGGTGAAAATTTAAAAATTAGCAGCTGAATTCACAATCGCTACTACAATATAAATGGATGCTTTAGAGTGAAAATGATACGAAATATTTAAATTTTAAGATTATCTTATTTTTTCAAGTGCGCGTGTTTTTATTTATGGATGGGATTGTAAAGATACGTGTGTATGTGAACTGAAGCGTGTATGTGCGACTCTGTGTGTGTATGTGTTTTTTTTCTTTCTTTCTTATTCTTTCTTTCTTTTTTATTAATATCTCTATTTCTAACTCTCTCTCACGCTGTGTGTGTGTTTGCGTGCGTGTGTATTTATGTGTGTGTTTGTGTATGTATGTGTGTTTGTGTGAGTATGTATGTTTGTGTGAGTATGTATGTTTGTGTGTGTATGTATGTATGTGTGTGTGTGTTTGTGTATGTGTGTGTATGTTTGTGTGTATGTGTGTGTGTGTGTGGTTGTCAAGTGTTAGATATTTCTCAAATAAATGGCAAGTTCAACTATGAGGAGTGTGTAAATACGTGAAAACTTTGAATGTGTTTTCGAGATTGGCATAAATTAGGAGTGAAATTTATTCAAAATTTCTTTACTATTTAAGCTGGAATAATTTTTTTAAACTCACAATATGCAAATGATGTAACATTTCCTCAAGTTGTTCTTGCCATTTTTCAAATAAACCACCATTTAAATTTGAAAAATCTCAAGGCCAACTTTATTATAAACAATGTCAAAAAATATGTAAATATGAATTAATATATATATATATATATAACTCAAATATATGAATAAATAAAAATGAGAAAATTTATCAAAAAATATTGAAAAAAACTAACAAAATGAAAAAAAAAACAAATTCAGGAATGGAGAAAATTGACTGTGGTCGGACTATTAACATAACAAAATTCCTTACAAAACCCGAGGCATACTACGTGTATGATGGCGTCAGATCTAGAATGACAAGCAAGTATCTAGAGGATGAAAAATCAAAAATATTTTTCATCAATAAGAATCCTGGTTCGTTTCGTCTTATGATCTGTGTTTCGTTTTATGACCTGTGTTGACTGATTTTATTACATTTTGATATCATTGAGACCGTTCAATTGATGTTTAACTAATCTCTGAAATGTATTGTATATTTCTATTCTTTAAACTACTAAACCGCCAACAACATCAGCAAAAAACAACAACCACTTAGCCAACAGGCCATAATTCACCAACAAACACACCATAAAACAGTGACAACATCATCAGTAACTCATACACTAACCAGTTCCAGTAGTGGAAACATTGCAGGAGCTCCAGTGTAGAGACTACAACACGACAAAGGATTGGTACAGCAGAGTCCACAGAAAACAAGAACTACCCAAGCGATATCATTACAGCAACAACCCTTACATCGATGATATCGTCTTTGATATACAACCTAGATACTATCTTGGAAAGTATGTTTGTTTGTTTGTTTGTTTGTGTTTGTTTGTTTGTTTACTGGTTTGTTTGTGTGTGTGCGTGAACGTGTTTGCTTGTATGTTTGCTTGGAGGTATGTCTTTAAATTTGAATTTATAGTTTATATTTCGCATTTTTTTCAAGTCTGAACGAAGTAAACATTTTTTGTCTCATTTAAGAATTGGTTCATTAATCATTATACCATTATTTTTTATTTATTTATTAATTTTTTTATTTTTTATTTTTTTTATTTATTTTTCATTTTAGGTTTACAAGTCCCAAGTGTCATGTTAATCATGGGAGTCATGGGTCAGATAACACGTTCACAAGCATGCATGTTTGTCTTGTTGTGAAAGACTTGTGGATATTGTTGTTTTAGTAGCAGCAGCAGCAGTGGTAGTAGTAGTAGTAGCTGTAGCAGCGAGGCTTGTTGCTGATGATGCTGAATTCGTTGCTACTGATTACGTCGTTGTTGTTGTTGATTTTGGAAATTTTGTTGACATTGTTGTTGTTTTTATTTATGATTTGTTTGTATCGCAGAGTATTTCAGTTGTTTAGAGCGCCTCTATTGAGCTATCCTCACAGATTTTGTAACCTTTTGAGTCTGTTTTATTTTCAAAGTGGTCGATGTTGTTGTTGACGATTTTGTTGTCGAGGTCTTTTTCAATGTAGTAATTGTATATGTTATTATCTTCTTAGAAATATGGTTGTTATTGTTGTTTGATGTTGTTGTTGTTCTTGTTGTTACAAACAACAACGTATAACGCAACTAGGCAATCTTTCTTGGCATGGGATCGTTGTTTAAAGGAATGGAGGTTGAAGCGTTTGAGAGTATTGAACTCTACAATTTATATGCCGGTTTGTCGATTTTTTTTATTAATTCTTTAAATCAAACTCTTGTCTAACACAATTTGTCTCTAGCATCGTCATCATCATCACTTTCATCATCTTCATCATCATCGCTTTCATCATCTTCATCATCATCGCTTTTATCATCTTCATCATCATCGCTTTCATCATCTTCATCATCATCATTATCATTATCATCCTTTTTCTTTTTCATTATTGTCTTCAGCGTCGTCATCATCACCATCATTGTATCGTCTTCATCATCACTATCAGCATCATCATCATCACCATCATCGTCGTCATCATCGTCATCTTCTTCTTCATCACCATCATCATCAGACCTGACCAACCTCAGACCCTCCCCAAACAATGGAAGTTACGGATCCCTCCACCACATACTAAACACCACCAACATCAACAGAACGTTGAGTTTTGATAACGATTACGACAATGATGCTAATGATGTAGATAGTTCTAGAAATTTCTGCAAATACCCCGACCAATCAGATGAACGAAATAAGAGAAGACGTACATCAGGATTACCTAGCCTACCATCAACATGTGTTAGTTCAATTTAACTAGCTCAGCTGGGTAGTGTAGCAGTTAGAGACGCCTGGTTTTGAGTCGCGTTGACGGTATTCAATTGCAAAGACATCATTGTTTGTTAAATGCAAATTTTTCTGATGCGTTACATTTTTAGCCGAATTAATTTTTAATAGTTTAATGAATAAATAACATTTTTAACTTCAATTCAGTTTTCAGCTACAAACGAAGAAAACCTTGATAAAGAGATTAACCTAAAAGAAAGTGACAAAAACACATCCCTAAAATTTAACCTACCATTGAAGATGTACCAAATACCGAATTCGATCAAGTACTGTTCGATGGTGCAAAGAAGGTTCGTTACTTTATTCGATCCGACTCGTCATATGCCTCTGTGGACATCATTCAGTGTGAAATTCAATAAGGTTGGTTGGTTGGTTAATGTATTGGCTGGCTGGATGGCTGGTTGGCTGGTTGGTTGGTTGGTTGGTTGGTGTATTGGCTGGCTGGATGGCTGGTTGGTTGGGTGGTTGGTGTATTGGCTGGCTGGATGGCTGGTTGGCTGGTTGGTTGGTTGGTTGCTTGTTTGGTTGGTTGACTGGTTGATTGGTTTGATGGCTAACTGCTTGATTGATTGGTTGGTCGAAGGATATAATTGATATCGAGGTGGCGGAACATACGAACAATGTACTTAAAATAAAAATAAATCCCATAGAGTTACACCAACTCCAACGTCCTAAACAACACCTACCTAACTGACAAACACAACGGCGGCAGAACATGCATTCGAGCAGACGTACGTGACGATAATATGGTCAACTATGAGAACATATACGGAAAAGAAAACAAAGATAATGAATCAATTGTTATGTCTTTGCTGTTTCCGCCCGGTAAGTTTTTTTCGGTGATTTTTACTCTGATTTATTTTTAAAATGAATCGGATTCGATTACAAACAAATCCCGTCATAATCGCGAGCAATGTGTGTGTGTGTGCGTGCATGTAGTGTGTGTGTGTTTGTTGTTATTGATGCTTTTGAATAATATTGAATAGAGAATTGTAATGAATAAATGAATGAACGAAGGAAGGAACGAACGAATTAATGAAAGAATGAATGAATGAACGAACGAACGAACGAATGAAGGAATGAACGAAGGGATGAATGAGTAAATGAATGAATGAATGACTGAATAAAAGAAAGAATGAAATAATAAATTAACACACGTAGCTTCATTATCTTTCAAAACTTACGTTAAAAATTATTTGCAGGATATTATGAAAATGAGCCATCATCTGCTGACGCACATACAACCTCAAACGCCGTACCAATGTATGTCGGCTTTCAAGAAGGTATTTCAAATTAAATACAATTTTGTATGGTAATTTACTCTTGAATTGTATTGTAGTGTACAGAGTTGTATAGTTTTGTATTGTATAATATTGTATTGTATTGTATGGTATTGTATTGTAAAGTATTGTAATGTATAGTATTGTATAGTATTGGATTGTATTGTATCGTATGGTGTAGTATTGTTTTGTATTGCATTGTATTTTATTGTATTGTAAAGAGTCGTAATGTATAGAGTTGTATTGTATTGTATTGTACTGCATTGTATTGTAAAGAGTTAAAGTGTATAGAGTTGTATTGTATTGTATTGTGTAGTTTTGTATTTTCATGTATTGTATCGTATCGTTTCGTATCGTATCGTTACTAACTCAATCTAATTCAAGGCGTTTGGAAAGAGTTATTGCATCTAATAGAAGAGTATTCGGAGAAATACCGACACATCAACGTTGTACTCGGCCCGATATTCGACTACAACTCCGACGGTCTCAAAGATACCGACAAAGATATCACAAAGTAACCAAATCGATAATTTTCATCTGATTCTGGTCATTTAAATGTTCAACGTTTATTAGTTCTTTTTTTATGATAATCCATGTTAATCAACGCTCCAAAAAAAACTAGATACGTAGATAGTGATGGAACAATACCAATACCTTCGCATTATTTCACTGCCGTGTTCAAATGTGAGGGGGGTGACTGCGAAACTGTAGATGACGTCATTTCCTTTGTACTGCCACATAAGCCGGATCCGCAGAATTGCTGGGTGAGGAATGGGTTGCCTCATTATTATTATTGTTGTTCATGTTTTTTTTTGATTAAATAGGAAAACATTGTTATAAAATTATTAAAATAATTTAAAATAATGGAAAAATAAATATTTCATAAACGAGTTAGTCGATTGACTAGATCATAAACATTGCTACTTTTACTAAACATTAAATACTCTTAGCTAATTTAACATGCAAAAAGAAAAACCGACACTTAGCACCCAACAAAAAAATCAACAAAAAATCAAATCAACAAAAACACCCACCCCGACCACAGAATCGCCGTGTCGCCGACTACATCCGCGAGAACAGCGCCCGTCTAAGAGACATAGAACTCCTAACTGGTATAAAATTTTTGAGAAACATCGTCGACAAAAACCTCAGACGACGACGCGTGACGTTTTTAGCGGAAAACTATGGGACGGTTGGTCGTGGGATGACGCTAGTGATCCTGGAATGTATCCGGATGTTAAGTTGCAGTGTCCTGCGGGGTTTGTGATCCAGATTTTGTTTGGTTTAGATGAAGTTGGGGCGAATTGGAG